GAAAAAGTGTAAGAGTGTGTGTGTGTGCATACACATATACTTCCGAAAGACATAATGTTTCATCAATACTTTAATAAATCACTAATTATCTGCTATAATAATGCTAAATGTAAGCCCCTGTTTCAGAGAGAAGGACAAGAGAAATGTGTACTACTTCTTGACTAGCATTATACATTTTGGACAACTGGGCTGTTATGTTGAATTTGCAACTGTCACCCTAAATCTGTACCAAATGCATTTTACAGTCCGTTTGGAATTGCTTCAAAATTACAAAATGTAGCCACAGGCTATTTGTGTCCTATCTTTTAGTCTTCTTAAAGAAATCTATTGCAGAACTTTGTCATACAGGGCACCACTGTATCTATCTCATACCCAGAAGGAAAGAGAAAGCTAAGGCTCTGTGCTGGACCTCCCACCTGATTTGATCTTTAGCTTAAACTCCCTGGCCTAGCTCGTTCAAGATGAACAATTTAGAACCTGACTTTGAGTGAGGGAACTGAGGCCTGTAATTTCTTATTCCATTGCTCTTGAAATCGGTAATCACAGAAGTTGTACCGGTGCTTATTGTCATTGTCATAATGTTATCATTGTGTGTCAGGTATAAGTTAGTTACACACATTTTAAAACAAAATCTTACAAGCCCCAGGGGGCTTAAGTTCAAATGAGAAATTTTTTTATCATCTGAGCTTGAGTTTCAAGTTCACATAGCAGTAAGGGACAAGGGTATGATTTGAATTCTAGTCAGTTTAAATAAGGGCTGCCATGTTTGGTTGAATGGTTGATGCCAACTAGTATGTGATGGCTAAAATTCACTCCACTCACTATGCCTTGAGCCCCTTGAGAGTCTGTGTCCACCAGAGAAAGGGGCGCCTTTGGCACTGTAAGGAGCAGCAGCCATGATGTCACAAAGCCCATCCTTCCATCCCTGTACCATGAATAATTAAGAGAGATGAGTTTCATAGTTGTGCTGTGACTTTGAACTTGTTCACATTGACCTAAATTCTCCATTTAAGAATGCCAGATAAGATTTTACATATTTTATCTATTACATTCATATATTTTATACATATTTATGTTCTTATGTAATATAGGTTATTGATTGGAAAAAAAATGCTTAATTTTCTAAATTACTGATGGTTACTTTATTCCTCCTAAGAAATCTTATTTTTATGAAACACAAATTTTCAGTTGTTTTAGAAACTATGACATACTGCGCAGATCTCTACACTTATTTTTTAACATTTCCTTATACCTATTTTCCATCATACCTATTCTTTTAAATTGGTTCAACCTTGTGAAACAAAGACAAAAGTAAGTATAAATAGCCAGTTAATGAAGAAACCCGGTAACATGTAGCTCAAAGCTATAGCGCTCATGACATCTTCCCTAAATTCCATTGCTTTTAAGACGTACCCTTGGCAAGGTATTGTATCCTGGTCTGGGATCCTTGATTCTTCGAGTTGCTGATATGCTGGTCCCACGATTCCACCCAGCCTACTTCTGGGTGAGGGGGGTGTCCTCCTGAAGGCATTCCTATGAAGCATCCCACTCCTTTGCCCTGGACTACAGCAAGAGGAGAGACTCCTGCAGGATTGAAAGCGGGAAAAGAAACCAACAAACCAAAGAGATCATAGCAATAACCTCCAGGCAACTTCTCAAACATTGTATTTGTACCCTGTTTTCTCAAAGTTCTAGGCCATAAGCCGTCCATGACGATAGAAATGTGCTTGGTTGAGATCAGGAGTTGCTCAATTCATAGAAACTCAAAGACAAGTTCCTTTCTCTCTGACTTCCCAGTTTAGAGGCCTACTGACTGAAATAATCCCAGCTTTCCTGCCAGAAATAAGAGGT